GGTTATATTTGAGAATTAAGGATTTAATTATTGTTTTGATCGATAATTTTATCATGTGTTTTTCTATCATACATCACATTTTGAGGGGTTTTCTTTGACTTCAAATAACCATATCGTAACCTATAATCTTGATTTTCTGGCTTGATTACAAGCTCCCAAGTCTTATTCCAAGGGAGAGATGTCATTTTCTATTGCATAGCTTCTAGCAATTTTTAATGAATCAGCTGAGTTGAGTTGTATTAGGTTCCCTTTCTCTATGCATTGCTGCCATAGTAAGTGCATAAATAAGAATATCCATATCTAACTGGGGCTCTAACAAGTCTCCTCTCTCTGTCCTTAGTTAGATTGTAATTCCCCAACTAGCTGGATTTCAACCTCAGTATTCAACCTCAGTATTCTGCCTGCCAAACACTCCCACAAAGCTCAGTTAAGATGTGAATGATCTATAGTAAAGCAGCATATAAATCGAAAAAATAAAACAAGTGCATTGTTTGTTAACAAGTAGTAAAATGGATTTTGAGTCCATGTATCGTATCCACAGAGATTGTACAAGTTTAAATTCAAATTAACTTAGCCTTAACCAAAACTATGGAAATTGGTGATTTTTTTATAACTAAATTATTACTAACTAATTAACTCATGAATACAAGATTTAAGTTAACGAAAATTAATGTAAAGTTGTGATTAATACAAGTGTGATGAGAATATGATGATGAAAAACCTACTATGATCCCGAATCCCCTTATATCATTCCACTTTAACTTTGGACCTTACAATTTGATAGTGTGATTCAATTATGAAGATGAATAATCCTATTGTTTGACACTCTCTCTCAAGTAGAATTAAATATACCCTCACATGTGATCCAGCTATATTTTTTTTATGAGGAATACGAACATATAAGATTGCATTAAGAATTTATAAATACTTAAAGATCACATAGAACATAGTGATATATTTTTATTTCCTAACGGACTTTACGACAATTGACATTATATCTAACTTATTTTTAATCTTTCTGGTAAAGCTATGTTCACACTTTACTTCTGATATCCAGTAGCACGTGCCACCTAGGCATTCACACGATGAGGAAGTTTCCTAAATCCCGTGCAACCCTAAATTCATTTTGGTACCTAACGTTGTGTTATAGTAATCCGTATAG